TGTTGGGTTCTTTTCGGCCACCGTCTCACTTTTGTACAGCAATAATCGTGCCGCGCCTTCCGGGATCAAAAACATCATGAAATATGCATTCAAAGGGCAACCACTGGCTGGTACCGGCAAACTGTGGCCTCTGAACTGCAAACGAACCGCCTGACTGGATAATTTGGCCTCATGCGCCTCCAGGCGTAAAATCGACCGGAAACCTGCTGCAAACACGAAATAATACGAATGCTTGGCTCGATGCTATTCAAACACTTAAGATCAGTGCCTTTCTACGTGGCCCTAAATCTAGGGTTCTCAAAATACAAGAGGGCAAAAGGCCCACATGCTGCTGCTAAGAATTTTTCAGGGTTTCCAAATGCGCCAAATTAGGATGAACAAGACGTAGAACTATTCGAGGAAATTTTCGCTGGTACTAACAAAATGGCGCTACTGCCAATCAAAAAAATTAACGGCCAAAAAGGCCACATTTTGAGAACGCAACAGTCCCTTTAAGCTTTGATGTAAGGAACGTTGGTATTGATACACTCAACGTAAACTGTTTCACCTTTATTTGCGGATGACAGTGGTACTTCAATCGCACCGCCACGTGACAGCACTTCGCCCAGTGAACAGTCCACTTGTCCAAGGACGCCTACGAACTTCTCGCTGTCCCCATCAACTTGATTGCTAAAAAACAAAGCGCTTCTGCTAGAGGCAAAAATTCAAAGGACAAGTTTTGGCACGATTTAAAGACACGTGAGAATACTAAAAAGACGCAAAATGAACGATATTTGTTCATTTTCAGCAATAAACTCGAAAAGTGATTTCCTGGAATGAGGGCATGAAATTTTTCGCATCCCTAACTGTATTAGGAGTATCCTCTCTGTTCATCTAATAAAAGGAATTAGACATGAAATTTCTAGATTTCTTGGAACAGATTCATTGGCATCGCAATCGCTGAAGTATCACCTAAATGAGGAAGCTGAAAAGGCCTTGAAAATACATTGTTGGAATTGCCTCAGGTCTGTGTGCGCCCATACATATAAATTTCAGTTTTTATTGTGTAGATAATGCGAATAATACGTCCCATGGCTGCCGATATGTCCCACTCATTTATTACCTCTACGAAATATTTAAGAGGAAATGAGTGAGTGAGTGAATGAATGAGAAAAGAGCGGGTTCCAAAAAGCAACAACTCGTCCCCTCCGATTCTGTATCTTATAGGTAAAGCTGAAATTAACTGTTCCAGAAAACGCAATAAAAAAAAACCATCGGGCCTAAGAGCGAACGAATCGGCCGGATAGAGGAAGCGGCTTAAACAAGCGAGTAATTGGAAAATTTAGCTAAAAAAGAATAAAAACTATTTAGGAAGTGTTAATCATCGGGCTCAAGAACAAAGGAAAATGCTAACTTAAACAAATGATATGAAAAATTCGTAAGTGAGTGACACTTAGAGCAGAGAATGCAGCGAAAGAACAAGTATCGCCATTATGTATTGGAGAAGTAAATTTGATAGAGGGAAGAGGGCACCATTATGAAAGTAATTTAAGCAAGTATTTACAAGAAACAAACTTGATGCGGGCTTTCAATATGCACGCACACGCACACACA